ATATTGGTGTTGATGTGAAACAGATTCTGTGTTTTGCATCTAATGGTGCCAGTGTTATGACTATAAATGGTGTAGCAGCACATCTTAGAAGATCATCCCCCATTTCTTATCAACATCCATTGCGTTGCACATAGACTTGCATTATGTACAAGCCAGTCTGCTGCCAAGATTGACTTTATGCAACAGTACAATCTACTCTCACAAGCCTGTACTATTATTTCAAGGGGTCATCAGCTAGAAGCAGCAGACTAGCTAGGCTACAGGAACTGCTCAATCAGCGTCATATCAAAGTAAGAGAAATGCATGATATAAGATGGTTCAGCTTCTATAATGAGTTGGAAGCTATCTACAAATCCTGGAACAGCCTAGTTGTATAGTTTCAATCAACTGAACTATCAAGGGATCCAAAAGCTACAGGTCTTTTGAAGTCAATCACTAAGTTCAAGTTTGCTGCGCTGACCTGGAGTCTTATGGATGTAATACCAGTGATAACTGAACTTAATTTGGTGATGCAAAAAGACAGTTTGGATGTTGCATCACTGAAGCCAGTGGTTGCCAGTACAATTGATAAACCTGAAAAGAAAATGATGGACATTACATACAAGAGTTCCAGTCTCTGTTGACAGATGACAATCACCTCTATGGGCACGAACTGAAATACAAGAAACAGCACGAGGCAGTTGTGAAGTCAACCATGACAACCTTTATTAAGAAACTGATAGAAAATCTTAACACAAGATTCCCCCCTGAAAGTGTTACAGTGATTTCATCTTTTGATGTGTTGGCATTCAGGGACTTGTCATTTGTTGCTGAAACAAATCTTCAAAGTCATGGTAAGGAGAAACTAGATGTATTGATCTCTCAATATGGTAGCCCTAAGGGTGATGTGCCCGCCCTAATCGATGCAGGGTCAGCTAAACAAGAATTTGACCTGTTAAAATGCCTCCTGATTCAGCAGAAGTATCCAAGAGACAAATTCCATGAATTATGGAGAATCATTGATGGCTGTCACAAGGACCTTTTCCCAAACCTTCTGAAGCTTGCCTGTATTGGATTAACTTTGCCAGTCCAGACAGCAATTTGTGAAGGTGGTTTCTCAAGTCAAAAGATTATAAAAACATCACATAGAAACAGACTGAGTGAGAAGGCACTCAAAGAGTTGATGATAATAAGTATTGAGGGCCCACCTGTTTCAACCTTTGATGCCAGCAAGGCTCTTGAGGAATTCAAAACCAAAAAGCAAAGGAGGATCTTCCAAAGATTTTCTTTCAATATGTAACAATCTGAATCAGAAGTTATGAAGTTGACTTTGAGATGACAGGATGTGGACCAATTTCAAATTATTTGTAAGCATTAAATAGAGTTTTAAAGATGTGAATTTCAAGGAATCTAGTTCAATTTTTGGAATTTCATTTCAATCATTACAGAAAAAGATAGAACTCACCTTGATAAAAAACAAACTTCATATTGTTTGTTATTCTTTATTCACATGAGGTTACAGGTACAATATTTAGAGGGACAGCAATACTGGTATTCCCCACTACTTTTTCCAAATCCCCCCTCCTTTTTACATGATGGGGGGTCAAATCCCCCCTAGATTTTTAGTTCTAGAATAGACACTGCAATAGGTAAATATCCAGAAAACAAGGAAACAATGATGGCCATATAACAAAGAGAATTTTTGGTTCTCCAAACCAGAATGGTCTCCAAGGCTGGACCCCATTCTGGGGTAAGCACTAGGACCCTTTCTATGGTAATACTTTTTCCTTAGCTCTTCTGGTAATGCCTTGACATGGCTGGTAGGTGGATAGGTGGAGGTAGAAATTGTCTTTCATCACCTTAAGATTAGAACGAGTGCCTGTCTGTCCTATATCCTCTCAACAGACACAGCTACTGGAGCTATGGCATTGTTAAAGAGAGTTGATGATGTCCATGGCTAGTTGACCAACAAAGCTGTAAAACATGGATCCTAGGTGGAAGTGACTAGACGGCTCTCCCTCTTTACGAGATTAGCCAACATGGGAAAAATGTGGTCCCTGAGGTTTCCCAAATATACTGAACATCATTGAAACGCACCAGTCTCAAATTGTCCATATTTTCATCAAGATGGATGTCAGCATGACAATGATCAATGAATATAACTAACATGAAGTCGAAGGGCATGTCCAGTTGAAAAATGCTTTAGAAACAAATTCCTGTCCACAGTATGACTCTTAATTCCAAAATGCATCAACATGCAGCCACACCATGAAAAAAGCGCGAATTTCATTCTGAAATCATACTGACTGTGACATTAAAAGCAGGTTTATGAGAACCGATTCTCATTGCTTCACTAACGATTGTGAAACGAGGACAGAGAAGCCGAGGTTAACACCTCACGAAAGAGAAAGTGCACTAGGCATGATTCAGGTTGGCACCAGCAGCAGGGATATTGCTCGACAACTTGGACTTGGCCACTCCACCATCGTTAGGCTTCATAGACGACATCAGTAGACAGGCAGCACCCGTGACCTTCAATGACCTTGGCAACAATGTGTTACGACGCTCCATCAGGATCGCCATATAGACCTTGTCCATATCAGTGATTGAACACTGCCGACTGCCAGGACTGCTGCACTAGTTCAAGGTTGATGTGGGGGTCATCAGCGCTTACTCCATGTGATGCCGTCTACACGCTACTGGGCTCCATGCTCGACGTCCTTACATTGGACCAATTCTGACAGACACCGTAATGAGCGTATACAATGGGCTAGCATGCATTTTCAGTAAAGGTTACAACAATGGCATGGTGTGGTAGTCACTGACGAGTCACATCTTCATCTACGTAATGCGGAGATGTGGTGAACGTTATGCTGATGAGTGTGTGGTTCAGACAGACCATTGGGTGGTGGGAGTGTCATGGTCTGGGGTGGAATAAATTACAATCACAGGACTGCCTTCATGTCTGTCAAGGGAGAGTTAATGCCCTTTATTACCGTGAGCAGATTCTTCAGAATCCCATCGTATCTGTCTTCAACCACCACCAAGATGTCCATACTTTTCAACAGGACAACGCACGGGCACACACAACAAGACTTTCCATGCAGTATCTGGCCCAGCAACACATCCAGGTTATTCATTGGCCAGCACAGTCGCCAGATGTATCCCCCATGGAGCACTTGTGGGACGAAATTGGTCAAAGTCTTTCACGGCGACAACAGATGCGAAACATCCAGGAACTTGAGGCTGCACCACTGCAGAAGTGGAATGCCATCCTCAAGAACTCTGTTCGGACGCTTATTGACTCAATGAGGAGACGTTGAACTGCATGTGTCAGTGCAAATGGTGGTAACACGCGATATTGTCTTTTCGATTTGACCCCATGGGTGTTTGATCCTTTCTGACTGTGGAATATTTCAATGAATGAGCGTCTTTTCTGTGTTGTTGTTTTTGTCAGTCGTTCATCTGTTATTATCCACTCAAAATGTATCAATTCTTTACACATGCTTTTAATAATCTGAACTTTTATAAGTGGTGTGTTTTCAATGATGTTCAGTATATATCAGTTACCAAGATTGTAGCTGCTGTTTCACATCAGTAGGGTAGATGCGTAGAAAATGCTGAATACCATAGTTTGTTTAGATAATAAGAATGGATAAAACATAAAACAATCCCAAAACAGTTTGAAAATCAATAAGCAAAGGATGGATTCTTCAAAAATCATGTCAGTGATCGTCTCTGGCATCTTTTGTAGATAGAAAGGAAGAGAATTTTGACATAAAAGGGGCCAGCCTGCTCACAATGGCCATGTTCAGCATAAGGGTACTGAAGCTAAAACCAGATCTAGGGTGCGATATAGATCATAGAGACTTATAATCATTAACTAAACATCAATTGATCATTGATAAATGTCAGCAAATATTGTAAGCAGGAACATAAAGGGACCATAACACAAGTTATTTTGAATAGTAACACTCTCAACTTAGTTTGTTTGCAGTACTGGTTTATTTTTAGGTGGAAGTCTTGGTCTCAGCCTTGATGCTGACTCCTTATATTCTTTAATATACTCAGCAGGAGCCCAACCCTTGCCACGTCCTGAAATTCTTATGAGCCACCATCCCTCATCACCTTTTTCAACAACATCTACAACTTCACCTTCATCAAAACCAATTTCTCCTTCATTCTCAGCTGTAAATATACTTACAGTCTTGAAGACAGTGTGAGTACATTTTGAGAGAGCCCAGTCATCAATAGGTTCTAATTCTACTGCTGAGGGATTGGGTACTCGACTACTGCCATCTTTGACATCATCCTTTGGAGTATATTTGTTCTTCTCAGTTGGAATTCCTGGTCTTGGAATAGCAGATGTTCCCCCAAACACCAACTTGCCATCAAAGGCATTGACAATGCTACTGACCATGTAACTTTTGTGCATAGCTCTTAACTCAGGTTGTCTTACCTCTTTCACTTCTTCAATTTGGCATACAGATGGACTCACGACTGACAATTGCAGTCCTTGGCTGAGATTATTTTTAGACTCAAGGCTATCTGCTGGTTTTATGGCTTTGGAACTGTAATGACAAGCAAAATCTGTAGGCTTTGGCCTTACTTGAGGTTTTCGGACTCCAGTGATTGATGGTTTCTTTCCAAACCTGGATGCTGCAGATTCTTTATGAACAGCTTCTTTTGTCGCTTTATCCAGTTTTCTCTTCACAACAGTTGCAGTAGAATGTACATGTGTTTGTTTAAAGGTAATATCATCTTTCTCTTCTCCATCAAATACTGTTGGTTTGATTTTCAACTGAGGGTGAACCATTGCCTTGGCAGGCTCTGGTGTTTTCAGATTTTCTGTCATATGTGTTGCCCCTGGTAAAAACTTTTTCTTGACAAGTCCTTCCTCATTTTGCTTTTGGCACACAAGGTTAGATGACTTTGATGTCTGTTTTGGCAACAATGGAGGTTTTGGACATGCTTGCCTTTCAGGAGGTGGTCTTGGCTTTTTCCTACCAAAATATATGTTGTCACATTCCTTTGTCACAATTTCGGGATATCTTTGATGATGAAGATCGTACAAAAATGTCATTGGCGCTAGGATTATCGGCACAGTCTGAACCAATCTGAAACAGAATATCAATATACATAGTTATTGTGAACCCACAACAATATGAAGTAGTTGGGACTTATGTCAGAATATTTTTCATCATAATGTATGAGAAAGTGTGCGCAATAGATATTTCTCATATATGATGGAATTTTGGTTTCGAGTGTTCTTACTTAGAGGAAAGGCTGCGTTACTTGAAGTTATATAACTAAAATATGTTGAAAGTGTCTGAACTCAATTCCAGCCTTCAAATCCTTTTACCAGATTATCAATCAATGTGCAATTAATATTCAGACTGGTCCCAGAGATTATCTTATTAAAGAAATAAACATTGTGATATTTTCCATATATTCTTGTTTGGCATGTTTAACAATTTAAAAGGCTCCATAGACATATTGGTGTAGATAACATGAAAGATCCATTAAAAAAACAGACCGTGTGTAAAATAGTTTTGTTTGTTTGAAACACTACTACTCACAATGCAAGACACGTTTCTGCTGTAGATGTTTTCCAACTTTCTATTTCTGAATGTCTGGCCTAACCTTAAGAATCTTACAGCACCACAAAAATACGTCATCATACCCTTGTACGCAATTTTTGTGATTTTGTTCCAAAGCATGCTCTCGAAACGATACCCTATGATGCACGCCTTTATAGCAACAATGTTGCGTAGAAGTTCCGCTCACTGATGTTTCATCTCCACTAGTCAGGTCATTGCAACTAGCAGTTGTTTATCAGTGGGTGCACAATTTTTGGCAAGCAACAATTCCCCCCTCCCATCTTGTTTTCACTGATACGCTCAAATTTATTTGTAATAAGGGATGCTGAAGTGTTATATTTTGTGCATTTTTGTGTTTTTTATTTTTTTTATTTAGTGAGAATGCTTTGTACCAGTCACACTCTGCCATATTCTATTTTCACAGTTTTGGTAAAATTTGGGTATATTATTAAAATATATTTTATATTTTGGTTTCAACGTAACTTATAGTACTCAGGGCTCGAAAAAAAATTAAAATCTGCACTCGCCCTACAGGGCAAGTAGTATAAAATTTCCACTCGTCCTTCTAAAATTGTACTTGCCCTATGCAACATAATGAAAGTAAAATTTATATTATTATATTTCAAAATGTTTGCTTGGAATAAAACTACAATAAACATTACTTACTCTGTCTGCTAATTCGTTCACCATTTAAGATAGCTGAACTTCAAATAAAAATAAAAATGTTACTTCCCTTGGCTTTGTAAGACGATACGCAGTTCAGATTTGAAATATTTGAGAAAACTAGCAGATTACAAATCAACGTAGTGGATATTGTAAACCCAACAAAGCATGAAATAGTGAACTATATTACCTTGTTAAAAATATCAATGACACCTGGCAAGTGCGTTTAATAAATGACAGGATTTTTAAAACATTAGATTAAGTTAGAATTACCACCTCATCTGTTTAACTCTTTCAACATCAGTCAACCAGAGGCATTTACTGCCATGACACCGAGTTCCCAGAGACCCTGAGATCTTAGAGGAAGCCTGTGTTTACCAAGGAAAATATCAGCTTGTAAAACATTACTGCTACTACATATTATACACCATTTGAAAGGTCTAATACTTCTGTTTATAAAAATGAAATATATATTTTTATCATATTATTCAAATAATACAACTACAACGTAAATAGGTTAATATTTAATGAAAATGCAAGCTTACTTTCCAGATAAACCACGAACGGAGCAAAAAATGCGGCGATTTTTTCCATTTGTAACATGTCATACTATCCCCTTACATTTTCTTTTATATTTTCATTTTTACGTATTTGGAAAATTATTATAAAACAATCTCTCAAATAAAATGTATGGTCGTCTATTTCCCGATATCAGTAGCTTTCCGCTCAGTAACGTGATACAACAGCGTGAAATACCTCCGTTTTGGAAGCTTCGTACGGATAACATGTGAGGCAATTCGTTTGATGGCAGGAATCGTTCAAAAGCTCTGAACATCAACACTATCACTGCACCCTTGCCAAGAGTATTTTCACAGTTGTAAGAAGCGATTTTTTTAGATAAAGATTGGTTTCTAATGACGCTTTCCTGCCACAGTCTGCTATGAGGATCGTGATTGGACATAATTATGCATGTGACCTAAGGCAGCCAATCATATTGCAGCAATGGATAGTATACTCGAAAACGAAAACTTTTAGATTCAGACGAAAGTTTTAAGTAAAAGCATGTTATTCTGAACGTGTTACGCAAAAAATCACCACCTATATGAATATTAGATGCTTGATTGGCATTTTAGAAGATGATATTTGATGAACAAAGAGATTTTTTCTGGGTTACATCTTCTTTTTATTCTCGAGTACAACGTTTCAGGGCTTGTTCTGGCCCCATCATCAGGTAAAACTGAACAGTAACTGTTAACTCTGGCCGTGACGTCACAATGCTTATGACGTCACAATGCTATGACGACGCAATACATCTGGTGGTCAATAGATACAGATGACATGGCTAATAGAATACATGCTATTATGAATATATAAGATGTCGTTTACTGCATAATTAATGGATCAATTTAGAACTGTGCAGATACTTATACAAAATTGTTGATGATTTAGAAATGTACAGAGACGTATTTATAAATGTATAGAATGTAAAGTAATAGCAGTGTATACATAGAAATTATGCTTTATACATGGGAACAGTGACGAGGGTAGGGTATTGTCTTATTGTTTTATGTACCATGCATTTGGGAGGTAGACACCCTGATCCCTGTTTATTGCTGGTTTTGTGCGTTTGATGAAGATAGCTTCAATCAACTTGCGTTTCCGCCAGTCACTGATGTTGTTTGCGAGGACTTCAGTTTCCCAGTCAATTTCATGATCAGGATTATTCATAATGTGTTGGGAAACTGCAGATTTCAGATCTGATTTGTCCACTGAAGTTTTGTGTTCTTTCACACGTGTAGCTACTGTTCTGCCTGTCTCACCAATGTAGATGTCACCACAGTCACATTTCAGTTTATACACACAGCATTTAGGGTTGGATATAGCGTGATTGCACCCCTTACCATTTGCACGTAGCAAAGTTTTAAGGGTTTTGCCAGACGAGAAAGTGGTGTCAATGCTGGCCATTTTCTTTAGTAGTCTGCTGACTTGGTGGCTGATGGGCCCAACTTACAGGATGTTGATGCGGATGGGAGATGGTTCAGGTTTCGGAGGAGGCTGAACTTGATCTTGTAGTGTTTTCTTTATGGTGGTTTCTACAAGGTTCTTTGGATAACCATTGTATGTGATGAATGTTGTCATCAGGTGGTCTGTTTCTTGTTGCAGTAGGTCCATATTAATGAACTTAGTGGACGTATCGTGCTAGGCTATAACCACTGGCAAAAATGCTTCATGCATATATATTAGCATTAAACATCGTGTCCGAGAGCGAAGTTCGAGGCGACGAAAGCCGAGATGTCACTTGATATAATAAAATTACATGATTGCACATAAAAATGGAAATAGTAAGTATTAATGTACATTTGAGAACTTTTATGAGTACTGTTATTGATTTTATTCCTCGGTTTATTAAATTTGTTTAATTATTATCTCGAACCATCGTTACTTTGATTACAATCGGTAATAACAAGTAGGGAATTCCCAATTTTCAAGCTGATCCGACAACATTCATGTTGTGACGATTTTTCTCATTGGAAAGTTTATTAATTATAGCCAATCAGGATATTCGAAGCACTTAGGTTACAAAACCACGCTGCATGATATCTGTTGAAAAAGGATACCAAACGAACATCAAGACTTAAACTTTGCGGTTAGTTTTGGGGAATTTGAAAATACCGCTAATGGGGAATGAGGATGTTAAAACTTAAACTTATTGTTTTGAAAAATAGTTGGGTCAGAAAACATACTCGTCCTGTAGGACGAGCAAATTATGTTTTTCACTTGCCCGAAACAAATTGTACTCGTCAATACGAGCGGATGAGTGGAATTTTCGAGCCCTGGTTCTACATGAATTATAAATGTGAACTTACATACATGTATATTATTTTCATTCTGTATTTTGCATTATTACACTGAAATGGAGTTTTTTAGTATTTTATTTTTCGAAGCGATAAGAATGCATTACACTGGACACGTCAGCCATTTGAAAACACCTAAGGTCAAAATACATAATTTCAATTCAATTTTCTGACGACTATTTAACTAACAACTAATTCTGCAACTAATTTGACCAAAATAATTTACCGACCATAGAAGCATTTTATAATAGCTTAACCAACTCTAACGTTGGTCTCTGCTGTCCCTGAACAGTTTCTACTACCCTCGTAAAAATACATAATTTCAATTCATTTTCTGACGACTATTTAACTAACAACTAATTCTGCAACTAATTTGACCAAAATAATTTACCGCCCATAGAAGCATTTTATAGTAGCTGAACCAACTCCAACGTTGGTCTCTGCTGTCCCTGAACAGTTTCTACTACCCTCGTATAAGGTTGCTGACCAGTCTCGCAAATTCTGGCCACCAGCCTGGGATCTTTCGGTCATCCTCAGACATCTGACTTCAGAGGAATATGAATCTTTGGCAGAAAAAGATTTTGAGCACATCATTTTCAAGACCTTTTCCCTTATGGCTCTTGCAACCAATGTATGCATCTTGGAACTTCATGCTCTAGATGTCAACCGGGTGCGTTTTGAGAGGAAAAGGCATGCCAAAGTTTTCTTTGGCTTAACATGGGACTTTATTGCTAAGAATCATTTGCCAGGACAGCCGGACTGACTATTCGAGATTCCGCCGCTTTCCACGGGGCCTTGCGACACCGAGGATCTTTCCCTCTGCCCTGTCAGGGCTTTATGGGTGTATCCTGCTGCATCTCAAGACCATCATAGGCTACGCAAGAGACTTTTCATCCCATTGTCTACATTTTTATCAGCAGAAGTCTCGCGAACAACCTTGGCATTTTGGATGAGATCTACCATCCTAAGCGCGTATGCCTACACTGACCCTCCACTGCC